CCGGGGGCCCCGCCCCCCCCCCCCCCTCATCCCCCTTCAGTAGATTAATACACAGCTAGCAGGATAGAGAGAGCAGAACAGATTGGTAGCTGGAGACTGAGGCATCTGCTTCACACAGAAGCCTGGTAGCTATGGATGGGGAATAAAAAGCATCTTTGACGTCAGGATTAATGATTGGTCCCTCATCCGGGTCCCCTCTCCTGGTGTTATTTGTGTACGCTGGCTTGCTCTGGACCTACTTTTTGAGGAGTTCTCTTATTTAGAGCTCATATTTGCTTTTTTGGAGCTCCTCCAGCTCTGATTCCCACCACCATCATCCCCCAGCACAGTGGAAGGGGAGGAGGTGGGTGACATCCTGCAGAATGGTTGGGGCTGATGAATATTACATGGCATGGAGGTTGCTCTGGTGAGTTTGGAGAACGGGAGAGCCCCAGCCGTGGCTGGCAGCGCAGCGGAGGATGGAGGGGGCACTGGCATGGCTGGCAGCACAGCGGACAGGAGGGACCTGCTTCAAATCCCCAGGGCACCATCTTGGCTGAGCGACTACAGCCAAGGCAAGGAAGGGGAGAGCTGCCAGCTCCAGCTAGTCCCTCCACAGCCTCAGCAGCGACATCAGCCACCAGGGACCGGGCAAGGAGGAGGAGGAGGCGGAGGTGGCTGTGGAGGAGGAGGTGTGGGCGCACGTTTGCACAGCAGCGACATGATCATGAGCTATCCTGGCAGTAACATCAAGGATGGTGATGACATCGACACGGTGATCCGCCTGGAGGAAGACGAGCCCCATGCTCACCACGACCACCCCGAGGAGGAGGAGGACCACCACTTCGACCTGGGCATCATGGACCACGAGAGCAACCAGCGGGTCATCATCAACATCGCTGGCTTGAGGTTCGAGACCCAACTGTCCACGCTCAACCAGTTCCCCGACACTCTGCTGGGCGATCCAGAGAAGAGGATGAGGTTCTTCGACCCTTTGAGGAACGAGTACTTCTTTGATAGGAACAGACCAAGCTTTGATGGCATCCTCTACTTCTACCAGTCTGGGGGCAAGATCAGGCGCCCGGTCAACGTCTCTATTGACGTGTTCGCAGATGAAATTCGCTTCTACGAGCTTGGGGAGGAGGCCATGGAAAGGTTTAGGGAGGATGAAGGCTTCCTAAAGGATGAGGAAAAGCCCTTGCCCAAAAACGAGTTCCAGCGCCAAGTCTGGTTGATCTTTGAGTATCCTGAGAGTTCCAGCTCTGCTAGGGGTATTGCCATCGTCTCAGTGCTGGTCATCCTCATCTCCATCATCACCTTTTGTCTGGAGACCCTGCCCGAGTTTAGGGATGAGAACGAGCTGCCCCCGACGCTGTCCAAGGTGCTTAATGACACCCAGCAGCCTTCTCCCCCCAGCGGCTTGACGGATCCCTTTTTCATCATAGAGACCACCTGTGTTATTTGGTTTACCTTCGAGCTCCTGGTAAGGTTCTTCGCCTGCCCGAGCAAGCCTGAGTTCTCCAAGAACATCATGAACATTATTGACATCGTGGCCATCATCCCATACTTTATCACCCTGGGGACAGAACTGGCCGAGCAGCAGGGTAACAATGGACAGCAGGCCATGTCTCTGGCCATCCTCAGGGTCATTCGCTTGGTAAGGGTCTTCAGAATATTCAAGCTTTCCAGGCACTCCAAGGGCCTTCAGATATTGGGGCAAACTCTCAAGGCTAGCATGAGGGAATTGGGGCTTCTAATATTCTTCCTCTTCATCGGAGTCATCTTGTTCTCCAGCGCTGTCTACTTTGCTGAAGCTGATGATCCAGACTCTCATTTCTCTAGCATCCCCGATGCTTTCTGGTGGGCCGTGGTCACCATGACCACAGTGGGCTATGGGGACATGAGACCAGTAACAGTTGGGGGTAAAATCGTGGGTTCCTTATGTGCCATCGCTGGTGTCCTTACTATCGCTTTACCCGTCCCTGTTATAGTCTCCAACTTCAATTACTTCTACCACCGAGAAACTGACCACGAAGAACAGGTCATCCTCAAAGAGGAGGCCAGCAGTGCACAGGGCAGTTGTGCTGGAGAACTTAAGAGAAGTCCCAGCAAGGTTTCCCTCAACAAGTCTGTAGTCCACTTGGACAATGTTGAAGGCATCAACAATGGTACTGGCTCCCTTGAGAAATCAAACATCAAAGCCAAGAGCAACATGGACCTTAGAAAGTCATTATATGCTCTGTGTCTAGACACTAATAGAGAAACAGACCTTTAGGGTCCTGGAACCCAAATTAACAAACTAGCACAGGTAAACATTGAATAATGGAATTTTTTTTTATTGAAAAAAAGAGATAGATACCTTTTACAATAGAGATTTTTTTGGTCCTCTCTTGGTAGCATCAAAACAGTATTTGCTGTTGAAGACACATTTTGTTACTGACTTTTGCAGTATTTCCAATCATGCATATATATTTTGTAACTGTTACTTGTTGGAGTTAGCTGTCCCTCTCCTCCCTTCATTTTGGAATACAAAGATCTTTTATTTTTTAAAGTTGGAGGTAAACCACCACAAAGTTGCAAGAATACAGGAGATACAATTCATAGCATTTGTAAAATGGAAACTTTTTAGTTTGCCAGTCCTGTCCTGCAACAGCTAATGTATATTGTAT